AGGGCTGCAGTCCTGGATCTACAGTGGGGAAGCCGAGATGCACAGAGACCAGGTCACCTGTACCAAGTCCCAAGTGATTTGGAGCAGCAGTGCCTCTCAGAGGAGGTGGTGAGGATGGCAGGCCCTTCACATCCAGTGCGCTGCAGTGTCTGTGTGTCAGCCCCTGCAGTGGTGAAGTCTGTGTCTGTGGAGCACCCAGAGTCCCCTCCCCGCCCTAAGCTGCTTCTCGTGCCACTGAATCTGCAGGGACACTTGTCTGGCATTGGGAAGCAGGCCGTCTGTGCTGGATTTGCTCTGTGAATTTTGAATCATCTAGAGAATATGAGCTTCTTGATGAAAAGCGCGCGGTGTTGTGTTATGAACCAGAAAGTCATGGGCTATCAGGCTAGGGCTGGGTAATGTCCCGCACTGCAGACGCGGCCATTTCCAGGAGCGATGATGGAGTGAACATGCCTGAACACCCTTTAGGGCCCGAGGCTCAGTGGCTGTCACTAGATCCTGCACCTGCACCTGCACCCTCCACCTGCAGTGACCAAGAGCCTAGGGCAGGACTCTGTCCCTGAAGACGACTTTTTACAAAAAGCAGGAGGCCCTTAGCGCCAGCCAAGAGCCTGGGGATCCCACTGTCTGGCTGGGGGTGAGGTGGGGTGGAGCAGCGGTGGCGGCTGTGTCACACTGTGCCTGCCGTAAACCCCCGTGCCACAAGGAGATGTTTATTGAATGGCAAGTAACACTGTAATCTCTAGATCAAACAGAATATACACACCACAATAAAGTATAGATTTGGCCTCGGGGAACCCTCCCTGGGACTTGGGTGCTTCAGTGGAAAAGAGGTTCTCGCTGGGATCCGGGGGGTGGGCTTCTCCCACAGTCCAGGAGTGAACCAGACTGCGTCGGCAGTGAGCCCCTTGTGGGCAAGCACGTGGCTGCCAGCCCCGTAGGCCTCCCACTGCCTGAGAGCACCATCCCCATGGGTTGCCGTCAGGGCCATGCAGCCCCAGGGCAGGGGGTGACAAGATAGGGAAGTCCCCGTCTGTCCCCTTTTTAGGTCAAAATGAAAACAAATCCTATTGTAAGATTGGGAGCCCAGCACATGGGCCGTCCACATGGGGCACGGTGTTATTTTGTGAAGGCTGGTGAGCTGGGGGACTGTCCCGGAGGCCGGAAGTCAGAAATGAGATTGTTGGCCAGGCTAGCTCCTTCTGAGGCTTCAAGGGAGAATCTGTCCAGGCCCCTCCTAAGCTCCTGGGGGTGTCTGGCAAGCCTCGCCGTTCCGTGGCCTGTAGAAGCATCACCTCACCTCTGCCTTTGTCTTCTGCTCTCCCTGTGTGTGTGTCTGTGTCCAGATCTCCACTTCTTATAAGGACATGGTCATGTTGGATGAGGGCCCAGCCCAGTGGTCTCATTTGAACTTGATTACCTCTGAAAAGCCCCGTCTGCCAATGAGGTCACGATCTGAGCTGCCGAGGGTGAGGACTTCTAAATCTTTTCAGGCCCGCGCCTTTGGAGGCTGAGGTGAGTGGATTGCCTGAGCCTGTGGGTTCGAGACCCGCCTGGGCAGCGAGACCTCAT